TGATGCACTCTGGGGATAACAGAAGACAGAAAAAGAAAGAAATGGATCTGAGAGCAAGAAAAGACCAGCTACATTACTGAAAGAGTGAAAAGGGTAAAATGGCAATGGGCAGGATACATTTCAGGAAGAACAGGCTGAAACCAGCAGTGGAATGAATCCCAAGAGTCAGGGGATGGCTGAGAAGATGACAACATATGAGACAGGAAGACAAGATCAGAAGCTTTGCCACTGTGACCTGGAAATGTGCAGAGGGATGTCAGGACAGGTGGAGAGGTCCCGAGGAGGCCTTTACTCAGCGGGGCAGTAGAGAAAGGCTTCTGACCGTGGCGACAGACACCGTACATACAGCCAGCGTTTTGTCTTCCCAGCTCACATTTTCATAGCTGTTAATGTTCGTGTTTCTAAATATGTTCCAGAGTAAGGCCTAGGAAGGCATTCATTTAAGTCAGTTAAATTATTCATGTTCAATTAAACAACACAAATGGAAAAGAATCTGAATGACCCTCAGGCTTCACAAGATTGACTTTGAATTAAGACTGAAGAGTCGCAGAAGTTATTTACCAGTGCATCCTTCTTTACAGTTGCCAGAGCTATTTTCTTCTTTTATACTTGCCATGACATCTCTTTCACCACTTTTGAAATGCTTATCTGAAAGGCAAAAAGACATTTTTTTCTCAGAAAACACCCACCTAGAACTTTCCTCCAGATAACCTTCTCCACATCTGATCAGCCACCTCCACATTCAAAACAGATGCAGCCGAAGGGAGAGAGGATGACATTTCACAAGCAAATAAACAAACCTGGAGCCCACCCAGAGATGAATGCGATATTGTATTGATTTTTCCAGCTCACTTTTTTCTTCCGTACTCCACCTCCATTGCGAGGCTCCTCGGTTTTACGATACTGCGGCTTTACAGATACCCCCGATGGGGCATTGTAAAACAATACAGACTTATTTAAGGCTATTGCTCCAGCAAAATAGGTCTATATATTTGAAATAAAATAATTACTACCCATCTCTTTAGCACTTTGTTCCAGAAATTGATGAAAATGTCAAGCAGGAAACAAACCTAATAGGTTTTCTTGGCCAGCTGAGGATTTTAACTGTTCCTGCTTTCTCTTGGTTTGTCGTTACCACAGGCAGTAATTACCACAGGCATTATTGTTAATTTTCTGAAAGTGTTATTGCATAATTGCCTTAAACACTACTGAAAACACAGAAGACCTAAGTTACGAAAGTGATTACAAACAGTAACTTTAACCCTTTTTGGAATGCTTTAATTGGACCAGGATTAATATCCCTCGAAATCAACAAGTTTCTGCTGGATCATTGTTTCACTGCAGAAAAATGTTTGAGTTTGAAAAGTTCTTCTTTCCAGAATGATACTTTGTGGGTTTTACTGTTCATAAGCCACATGGCCTCCCTGAGGAATGGTACATGAATTATCAAGATGAGTGCAGGCATCCTCTCACGAGGCAACAGTAAATGTAGGGTTTTGTGCTTTTACTGGGACAATTATTAATTGTAGCAGTAAGTCACAAAATGATTCTTTGGCTATTAGAAGAGCGAACCAGCGGGATAACAGCAACGCACACACGGATACTAATACACGACAATACATTTATTAATACATAAAATGTCCATAAACATAACAGATCTTATCGTGAGGGTTAGCAGAATATAAAAGGTATATATTCAATTATGAAGAGTTACAAACCAAGAGGGACATACATTCAGTATATCATTCATTTATACCGTTTTGTAAATGAACTTGGATTACAACTTCTACACTAGATACTCAAAAGCAAGTATATCACTCATAGAAATTAAATTGATATCAACTGTGGTTGAGGTAACAATTTAATTCTTGAGCTGTAATGCAGAATGTTGAGTACTCATCCGATCTGTGGGGATTCAGATCTCCCGCGGACACAAAGAAACAGCTGTAGGCTGTTGCCATGTCCAATAGGCGCTCTCTGGCCCAGTGACCGGCAGTGCTGTTGCAGCTGGAGAGAAGTGGGAGAGATTCCTGCTGCAATGCTCTAGCAGTGGGCTCTCTGAAGACCGGTTAGTTAGTTCTGGCTTACTAGCAGAGATTCTGCACATGAGAAAAGTGACTGCGGGTCCAAGCAGGTCACACTCTTTAGACAAGAAGAAGACATGTTCGTTCCTGATGTAGCGCGAGTCCTGAATCCTGAGATTCAGCTGTCCACAGTTCCGACCGTAGGTCACTCGTTGATCAGGTTGATCACTCTTAGAACAAGGGAAAGTCCTGGCACTCGGACGCACTGGCCATTACGTGGTTGTCCGAGCTGAGTCTGAGAAAGTCTAGGAGGAGCCCTGGAGGAGCCCTGTGCTACCTGTTTTACCTGGAGGAACTACGGTCGTTCATTGGTTGAAAGTTCCGTGGGCATTCGAGACCCACATGGGGTTACCCTGCCCTACCAGTTCCTGATTGGCTGATCTACTGTAGGTGGAGGATGAGTAACCATGCTCTCTGACATTAGGGTTTTAAACAACTTGGGATGAGACTCTCCCTTGGAATCTCTCAGACAGTAAGGCGCCAGAGATGACCATATATCAGGGTTGCTGGAGAATTTCAGCATTGGGAGTTGTTCCTTATCAGGACACTCTATCAGCTAGAAAAACACCTTAAATGTGAACCAAATAGAATGGCCTCTCTGTATCCAGCACCACTGAGATAGACAGACAGAGGGACTGGCAAGGGAGCAACAGACTTAATTCCTGTATTTTAATAAGCCTTGCCGCTACATGAGTATTTGAAAGAAAATAGATGAATGTTGCTTTTGTTGCTTTTCTGTGTGAAACATTTGCAAATGTTAGCCCACAAGGCAGAATTTCACTTGATTATTGATTCTTCTTTATTAAAAACTTAAAAAATTCTTCTGACTGCTGTTTGACCTTGAAAGCAATAACCTTACTTTCTCTAGTAAACATTTGTTTCCTTCGAACTCTGCTGGTGAGCTTTGTATGTGAGGTCTATGCTCAGTTCAAAGGAAAATTATTTTACTGGAAATAAAAAATATAATTTAATCATTTTTACCTTGGATTCTGAAATTGTGCATTTCAGATTTCTACATAACTAGCAATTTCAATAAATAATCTAACATGCTTTACGATAATAGTTTACAAATACTCCTTTAACACATGAAAATGATTCTTCTGTATTACATTTTCATTGTACATTTTGGAAAAAGTGTAGTATTGCATACTAAAACAATATTGGAGTGGTTGTTTTTGTGTTTACAAATTGCATAGCACATGTTAAACATATTTTGTAACCATCCAGTGATAAGATTGAGGCCAAAAAAATAAATGTATAACCATGACTATTGGTATAATCATACATATAGGCATTGCTCTCATAACAATAATTCAGTAGTACACACAATGTACATCTAACGCTTTCGTTATGGAAACTGAATTACTAAAGTGTAACCCATGATGCACTTCTACAAAGACAAATGAACTCTTTGTTATCCGAGCTATGCCTTTGCTACAGAGGGAAGCAGGTCGGGTGAAGTCGATCTGTGAGAAAAGATGTACAGTGGGTGCCTGCTGTTACACTCCTACTGCACAGCCCATCCAATAGGCAAATATGGTCTGCGAACGTGGATGAAATGGTCTCTCATAGTTTCGGGAGAAAAGTCATTTATATTGAGGTTTTACAGTATGGTCATTTTTAAGTTGTTTTGTGTTTATTTTTGATCATTTAAATAAAACTTGTTCATGAAATAAAATAGCTTTCGACATTCAAGGCATCAAAGATGAATTCTTCTTGTCGGATTTCTGATCTGATAAATTACTCTCCAAACTGCATTTCCGTGCCTAAGGACTCATTTATTCTACATCCAGATTACACAGTGTGGGTGGCAGGGCTCCTGTGTCTGTTCCACCAAAGCAGTGGAGTACTCTTGAGATCAGGAATACTTTGAGTCCTAATCTGAGTCCTCGTCTTGTTTTAAATCTCTCAAATCTTCAAATTGATTTATTTAAACTGACTTCACTAGGAATAACAACACCCAAGAATTCAGCATACTGAAAGGATTCTGTAGTCTTTAGTCAAAATGTGGCTGAACCCGCTTGGCTGAGGGCTGACCACCTGGGAAGAGGAGGAGGCTGGGACCCACTGCAGAGTGAGGAGTGACCCAGGGGCAGCTGCAGAGGTGGAGGTGGGGTTCAAAAAGACGTATGTGAGGGAGAGAAGGGAATCGCACACAGTATTTATAGTGTTTTAGGAGAGGAAATGACGTCAGGAGTGATTGATAGTTACTGACAGCCAAGTCTGATTGAACTTGGTTGTTATCATACTTCCCGAACTTTTGTTACAAACTCCATTTCGATAGCTTTTCTGATGAATGTTATGTGACTTTTTTCAAAACTTGTTCATTTCGTTGTTCTTTTCCTGAGGTTATATTGTGCAAGCCTTTGCAATATATTTTTATGAAACAGTCATTTCTTACTAATACAGTACTCCTGTAAGTTTAAAATAGAAAACTGTAATAATTATTTTGCATGACAGGGTCATTGATACAGTATTTTTAATGTTATATCATTCATGTTCAATAATTTCAGTTTAATTAGTATGCACTCAAGATCAAGGAATGAATCATTCAAATACAGAGGAAGTATCATTGACTCAAGTAGGAGGTATATACATGTATGGAGAATAAGGGAAGCAGCTTTTCCATACTTAATCTTCTGAAAAGTACTCAAAGCATTAAAAAATATTAAACCCAGTGTACTCAGAAAAGACCAATATCAAATGGCACTACATGTGTGTAAATTTACGTCATTTTGTTTGTTCAGTCACATTGTTGCTCATGCCTCTGCCAGTCTTTAGGCAAATTTGTTCCAGAAGACTCATTCTGTAAGCTGTTCAGAGAACACCTCCTTGGGATTCAGACCGTGGCTCATGACATCATCCTTGATGGCCGCCCAGGCCATGCGTTCGGTGGTGAACTCTGCTGCCCAGTCACCATTGCGGCTCACGACGATACATCCACCTCCTCCCTGGACTCTCTCTCCCATATACTGCAGGGAGATTTTGGCTGCCTGCTTTGCAGGTTTGCCTGTGGAAATGCAAGATGTTTTCATGAAAAGAAAATTAGGAGCAAAAAGCCATCGTAAAGGTGCACGAAAATGTATTTATGGGTATATTTTCACTAAGACGCTAAGTATATCCTTCCATTCTTTAGAGCAACACCTAGGATGAACTCGTCAGCAGTTAAGCCTAGTCTTCTTCTCTCACCAACATCACTGAATGTGGCTAAAATATGCAGAATAACACATTAATTGTTGAGTACAACATGTAAATGATGTGTCAACATAAACAACTGTCTTTTTCATAAGAAGCTTCTTCTACCCCATCCATTGCCATTTTTATATTTATAGTTTATGTTTTTACTATCCGCATGCAAAACCCTACACTTGTCTATATTATACATCATCTGCCAGGTGTTTGCCCAGTCTTGAATTTTATCTATTTTTTTAACTTTCATTTACTGCTTCTTCACTGTTTGTTTATCCTTCTAATTATCACCTAGGAATTTGGTTGTTTTCTTAACTATATCAGGATTTAGAATCAATTAACAATTACTTCAAGAAGAAAACTTGACTGCTTCATCAGGTTTCATTATGCAAGATGGCGCCTTTCAATGGCGATGTCTCGTGTGTAGCGTTTATGTTGTTTACTTTCATGTTATGTCTTGCTTTTCTGCGCAAGAAATACGCGTGTGACCATCACCTACAGCACGACCCACAGACACTCCTGGACCTAGGATTTAGAGCCTCGGATCTAGCTTCAGTGGAACTGAAAGCACACGGCTTTGCTTCTCAAGCGCAGAGCGGACGGGGACACGATGCCGAGAGGAGGCGGGGTAAGACAGGCAGCGTGTTGGGGTATCCCCAGGAGAGCGCCTGCCGGCCTACGCCCCTCCAGCTTCCTGCTTGCAGGTGTGCAATCGCTGGACGGTAAGATCGACACTCAGCGCGACTTGAGAGACTTCTGCGTCTTCTGTGTCACTGAAACACAACGGTACCGATGCCGCTGTATAACCCGCTGGATTCACGCCGTATAGAGGGGACCGCACAGCTGAGCTGATCCTACAGGCAAGGAGAAAAGAGGTGGAGTCTGTTTCGTGATTAACTTTCTGTGGTGCACTGAAGTAGACGTTCTCTACAAATCTTGCTCATATGGAATATATGGAATATATATTTGCCTTTTTTACCTGCTGAGGGAATTTACGGCTGTTGTTATGATGACCGCTAGGTGCTTTCACCCGAATGCCGAATCTGCACTCTGCGAGGTGTACAGCGTCATCAGTAAATATGAATACACGCATCCGGACGCTGTCTCTATCGTGGCGGGGGACTTTCACCACTGCAGCCTTAAAAAGGTACTAACGAAGTACTTTCGACACATCACGGTTCCCACTAGAGGCGATAACCCACTGGATCACTGTTACATAACCATTAAGGGAGCATACCGCTCTGTTTCGGGAAGTCTGACCACGCTTTCCTGCTCCTTCTTCCTGTTTACAAACAAGCTGAAGAGCGCCACCTGCAGGAGAGAGCGTGCAGCGCGGGTCAGACGCCGCTGAGCAAAAACTCGCAAACTGCTTTGAAATGACGAGCAGTAAAGGAAGTGTTCTTTTGATATTCAAAGAGGTGTAATTTCACTATCCTTAAAAGGAAAAATAAAATCTATTGCAACTGAGAGCGAAGGTGGGGGTCCTGACTAACACAGGCCAGAGAAGTCGGGGTGGGAACCTGAGACCACACATCAGGATGGGGAAATATGGGACAGTCAGACACGAAGACTCGCATTACATGTACATAAACCCCTGTCCTTCCCCCCAAGTCCCAGGATTTAACAATGCCCCTGCTAGTTCCCAACTATTCCAGACAGGTTCCCATCTACCGCAGCATGCGCTCTTGGGGCTGACCAGCCCCATTACCTGTCCCATCACTGCCTCACGAGGGTGCTACAATTCAAAGATTCTTCCACTGGTCTAAATGAGTATACAGAGGTGGTCCTGTCCTGCATCAACCTGTGTGAACAGATGCGTTCCTACCAGGATGATCTGGATATATCCCAATCAGAAGCCCTGTATGAACAAAGACATTTGGTGGAAAGCATGGCCTTCCAAGCACGTAACAGAGAAAGGTCTCCTGCATGCAGAGACATTTTTAACCTCCCTCTGTCCCAGTCAGTTATACCAGAGTGCTTCAGGAAAACCACAGTTGTGCCTGAGAAGTTACCAAGGTAACTTGTTTGAACGATTACCGCCCAGTGGCTGTCACTTCAGTGCTCATGAAGTGCTTGCAGATCCTCGTACTGTCCTATATAAACCACTCTATCCCAGACTCCCTTGACCCACTCCAGTTTGCTTACTGCCCGAATAGGTCAGTTGATGATGCCATATCTCTAGCACCACATACTGCCTTTGAACATTCAGACAGGCGGGGGGACTATGTTAGGATACTGTTTATAATAATATAGATTATTATTATAGATTAAGTTGTATTATCTTAAAATTGTTCAACAGAGTAGAGAAGTGTATGCGAGTGTATCTACAGAACCTCTTTAATCATGTTGACTGCAAAATGACTCCGGCATCTTCTTTAAGGGTTTTGATCATTTTATTAAATTGTTACACCGTGTCTCTTTGTTTTCTGAATATGGTTTATTTCCTTTTATGTAACATGCTCTGATTAGTCATATGTTGGGCTTTATTTTTCTATTATCATTATGACCTTTTGGCCTTTATGTACCTATAATTAGCACGCACTTGTGTTGGCATTGGTATGGTTGGTCTGTTTTGTTACTTTTGTTGCTGTTTGTTGCTAATGTTTGATCTTTACTTCCTTCTAATCAGTAATATTTTTTTTGCCAAGATCAGAAATATGCTTGGTTTTTAATGGCCTAGCTTTGGATGTGCTTTATTTGAGAATGCCCTTAGTGATACCCAGGTCCCATTTTTTTTTGTATTGTGGCACTGTATCTTGACAATAACCACAGCCAGAAGTTCAGCATGTTACCTGAGCAGGTTACTTAATCACCTGTTGAGATCAGTGAACTGATGTCTTATTGGAAACGACTGTGACAGTAATTGATGCAGAATTCATTCCCTAGTGTCTGTAAACTGATGTGGATGAAAGCATCTGCATCATGACTAATTATTTTCTGTAACACAATATACATACTCTGACTGACATCTGTTTATGCTTACTGCTTCCGTACAAGCACAACAGGTAAGATCTCCTGGCTTAGCACTGACATTTACATCGACTCACCAGTTTATCCTGAGATGATTGTAGTCCTAGCACCTCACATGAAGTCTATTATTTAACACATTAGCCTTCTATTGTAAAAGACTATATGGCTGTACCAGTCCATTGAGTATGTGTAAATTGAATAGATCACTGGGATCCACATGGACCTGTGTGTGAAAGATTGTGTCACTTTTCAGGTTGTTTTGTCCAGCAATATGGCTAATCTCTTTATTAACTTTTACATTATACAAATGGGATATATGGATTGCTGGCATACAATGAACATTATTACAAAGAAACTCTCTGCAGTGTTTGACTAGCAATCCAGTTTATTTATTCATCTGTTTGTTTTGTTAAGGGGGAAAATGAACCTTAAAACATTTTGAAGCATAACCTTTGCAAATTTTCTTTTGTAGTCTTTTGCTGCAGGCCCAAAAGAGTCCTGTAAACAGGCATGTTTAAACAATAATCAGTGCAGGATGGGCAATTGGCAGTCAGAAGAGGTGTCATGTCCACCCAGTCATGCAACAATACAGTTACAATTAGCCTTTACTGCTTTGCATACTGATCAACTACACAAAGCTTATCTGGTGAATTAACAACAATTTCTCATTTAGCAGCAACCCTGCTGCCTCCCTCAAAACTCAGAAGAGCCAACCCCTGCTCCAGGCATCTCACAAAGTTCCAGTTTGAAACCAGGGCTGACTGTGATGGATAGCTATTCACCCAGTAACAATCTGCTTGTGGTATTAGACTTTCTTCATCAGTATCAATATTTCATGTTTCCTGCAGAGTAACTCATTTTGAACTGGCTTTCAGGAGCTCTGTGTTGTTTAGCCACGTGAAAGGTCAGAGTGAATGGCGAAACCTTGGAATCTCCCAGACACACACTGAAACCTAGTAGTCAAAAATAAGCAGTCAACTTGGTTATGTTTTTTCAAGGATGGCATGGGTCAAGTATCACTGGAGATGAGTGAGGTTAGATGGCCAAATAATCAGGGTATTTTGCCAGGGGGATCAGCATGAACTGGAGAAATGACAATGCTGACACCATTAGAGGCACACAGACACTCAACAAGTGACAAGCGTCACTGATGCTTGGCAATCCAAGGACAACAGCACTGCCTGGGAAATTCCAGTCACAGATCAGCTTACATTTGGACTATTTGAGCTGTAGGGCCTAACCTGAATGAGTAGCCCTAGCTTTCCCAGTTGTCACTGAGGATTCCCCCCAAAATGTACATTTTTGTGTATGAATTTTCAATGACACAAAAGTTATCCTAAACTAGTTGGAGCCCATTCTGTTTCATCAGACCCTAGACCTAGATCCTCTGAAGCCTTGCTTATATCCAAACCTCATGCACCACATGTTCAGTGAAGAGTACTGCCTCTGTGTTATAGGGTTCCTTTACTCTCTTTTGAGGGTCCTGTCCTCACAGGCAGGTTGTCATTTCCTCAGCTAGGTGTGTCACAGCAACTAAACACTTGATATGTTTCAATTATTCAACATGTTTTGTCTCTAAGATTTGGCTGATCTGTTGAAAATCCATTGTCCTGCTGAAAGGTGAATTTTCATCCCATGCTTTGGTCTTTAGTAGACTGATCACAATATAATATGCTTGACAATGGGGATGCTGTTGATTGTGATGTGTTGAGTTTGCATATGATGTAATGCTTTACATTGCAGACACAGAGGTTCCATTTTTTCTTGTCTGACTACAAAAGTAACACTTAAATCCTTTGTTGCAAAGTCAGAAGGAGATTTGAGATGGGTTTTCAAATCTGCCATACAGGCCAGCTTTATGGGATAACCACAACATTGTCGACTGGACATTTTCTCCCATTTCAGCCATAGAGCTCTGTAAGTTTTTAAAGACGCCGTTAACCTCATGGTGGCTTCCATAACCTGTTAACATAACTCCGGGTTGCTCTGCGGGGAGGGACAACCTGATTGAGGAAGTGTCTATTATACCACCTGTTTCTTAATGTTAACTTCACCAGACGTGTTAATCCCACAACTCTTTCTGTAAAGAGTGTTTCCTATTCTTGGTTTAAGTGAACTTCCATTTAGCTTCCGCTAGTGTTCTCTGGTTTCACAATTTATTCTAAAGAGGTTCACATTGACATTGTCACTACCTTTGTGGGTTTAAAATACCTTGATTGTGTCCAAGTATTCAAAATATTCATAAATAACTTCATCATTTACACTTATTTAGTATTTTCATCATTTTTTCAGGTATCGCATTCTATAATTGGTCTACTATCTGCAATTTTGCCTTTTTAAATCAAGTCCTCCAAAGTGCAAGCAGCTATAAAGCTGAATGCTAATTGCAAAGAAAAAAAACAGCCCGTAAAAGCTGTTCCTTTTTGTAAATGGGAGTTATTCTGATACCATTCCAATGAGGAAAGCTATATTGTCATTATTATTCTTTTTTTAACATGCTGTTGTCGAGGACCCAAGGTTATGTAATTCACAAAATATACAATCTTTCACCTGATGACCGTGTTCCATCAGTGATGACAAAAACAAACAAGCAGTGTAGTCAGTGCAACAGGAAATGGGATATCATGAATTTGTGGCAGGAAGTGCAAGCACTGACAGATGATCATTAGTGACTTGGATGCCAAGGTGAAAAGAGGACACTATGGCTTTTAGCAGATTTACCACATAAGGAGTAAACTTGTTATGGTGGCACTAGTGTTTTGAGAGACCCTGCAGACATTTCACCTCCACTACACAGATCCCTTTGACCCCCACTGATTTCAACTGTTGTATCTTTTTCGTTGAAACCAGAAAAGGAAACTTGGTTTCATATGATCTTGTCTTTTGTAGCCTTTCTAATGTCCTTTTCACGTGTCAAAAGGCAATTTTGCAATAAGTAATGGAGGCAGTAAGGGCAGTAGATGTCTCAGAGCCACAAAGAATTAATGTAATGAAACAGGGTTTAATAATGGTTAATGCCACAAAGCAGAGAAAGCCAGGGGTCCAAGAGGAATTTGCCATTGATTTGAAACCACCCAGCGCCTCCATGGAGCTCACTGAAACAGTCATATGTCACAGGCCCAGTCTGTCAGGCTGGTGATAAAAGCAATTCTGAAGCAGTCGTCTCTTGTTAAGGGTCAGACACTCGAGCAGCTGTCTGATCTTAAAGCAGTGCTGCACAATCCTGGTCACTTAGCATGTTAATGTAATCATTTTTGTAAACCATTGCTGTTACTTCATCGTTTTTCATGATCTAGATAGATTCAAATTTGATATTTCATTAAAATGCACACAAATAATCCCTTGCCTTTACTGAGGCTCACCTATAGCTTCACTGCAGTTTAGATGAATAAATAATTTTTGATACCAGTGTATATGCTATATAAATGGCTGTTTATCAATGCAACTAATAATTCCTTATTTGTGATTCTGTTCTGACAGTATGCATGACTCCATTCCTTGCCTCTGCACTTTGAACTACAGTACTTTGAAACCTCTGGATCCATCAGTATCTAAATTTATGAAAGTTTCAAAGCTAATTCAAGGTCTTTCAGTGCTGTGAGCTTGCAAGTGATGGTTTTACAAACAATATATGTGAATTTTCTATTTAACTGAAAAAAATATTTAATCAATGCTGAGAGCCATTTATGTTCCTTCAATCTACTGGGAACTGAACAGGCTGTGAGTAATAGAGAGAAGAGGAAATGAAGTACTGCATAGGGACATAGGCCTACAGTAGATGTGATATGATTTCCTTCATCACTGAGGGCAATAAAGACCTTAGGAGCTTTGATTCAAGCATAGCCACCTTTTCTCCTCTCTCCATCGTATTTTCTAGTGTGAGGCGGTCCAATGTGGAAAGAACACAAATGCCTTCCCTTTGAAGCTACTGTAGAGTTTGTGTCAATGTAATTGTGATCGTAATTTTTTCTTATGTCTAATAAATATACTGTGGATTAAAAACACATGGGAATGTCAAATCTAAAATGAAAAGGATATTCCATAGTGTAATTTGAGGTAAGGGCATAGGAAGATCAATATTTTGTATAACAGAACTTTTGTGCAAGAGAACAAAACGTATCAAATAAATAGAAGACAAATATTGAAAATGCGGAGCAGGAAAGTTCAGTCATATAATGTTTTAATTTATTTCCTCTCTATGTTCCTTTAAATAAGGTTATGTGTATTCAAAGGATAACAGATGAGGTGCTGTTATTATATGTGAATATGAAACGTAGATTTTTTTTTCTTCATAATTTAACACATTCCTTGCATTTCTACAGGCTTATAGAGTGTGCAAGCATTAAAAGAATACATTGTTACACGTTATGTTTGGACATAGATTTAAACATTCTTCATAAACTGTATCAACATTCCTATTTGTGTCTGAAGAAGTCAAATAAATAGAAGTGCAGACAATGCAGTAAGAAAAGATATGAAGTTATATATTACATCTTGACAGCAGGAGAGGCCATACATTCTTACAAAGCCTGATGAAAGTCTTAATAAGTACTGCTGAAAAGAGTAAGCACTGAGCTTGAAGTCACCCTTTTCATGTTGCTGTTGCTTTGCTCTCTTGTTTTAGTATTTAGTAATTTAGTATTTAGTAATAGAAGTATTTTTATTTTCTATTTTCGTAACCTCCAAATTTGTAACAGTATTTAGAAAGAATGTATATGAAAGTGTTTTTTTAACTCTACAAGCTATATTGTAGACAAATATGCATGGACTGTAAGTACAAGATAAAAAAAACACAAAACTGTATCATACAAAATTACCAGGTAGCTGTGACAGAAAGTTAACATGTTATTCACAAATAACTTTCAGTTTTCAAAAGTAGAAAAAGCTCACTTATTAGCTCACTTATGTTTGTAGATTATCTCATTTTTCTTGAAGCCTTACTTTGCCTAAAGATATTTTTACTCTAAAATAGAAGCTGTTAATTAACAATTTAAATTATAAAATGCTTTTAATTAACAGAAGCTATTAAAAACAGAAAATAAAAACGCCTCATTAACTATTCATTTCAGTATTCCTATTGTGAAATTTCAGTAATTGACAGCACATTTGTTCCAAATGGCTTTCAATATTAAATCTTAAAACCCGACAGTGTTCGCATCTGGTTCCATGAAGAAAAATAATTAAATTTAATAATAATGCAAAAACACAGCAATCCATCATGTCACACTTGCATGAAGAACACAGAATTGCTGGCCCAGTGCCAGCAGAATATATCTATAAAGTGGGCCAATTATGTAGCCATAATGTATTTTTAGTCCCTGTGCAAGACAAGATGATCCCAAATCATCAGTCTGCATCTTGCGAAATTGATAATAAAAACAATCGTTCCTCTGGGGGTTTGATCACACTTTATTTCATGGTGTTCAATTTGTTGGGCAATTTGTATTGCGGTGTTGGATTGCTGTCAAGGTGCACCAAATATGGAACCCATCAGACAGCCTCATATCAATCTACTACTTGAGCTTGAAATAAATGGATTAAACCCTTCTAAATATCTTGTTAATCTGTTTTTGCTTTTCCCAACTGGATTAAATCTAAACAAGCTCACAGTGTAATATTCACTATCTGTCTGTCATCATGATGTTCATTGTCTATCACTCCAAAGTGATTGTGTTTTGCATTTGAATTCTTCTCAAAAGCCCCTAGCATATGAGTCCATTAGTCATCAACTCAGGGTACAGCTATTTTTAAACAAAGGCTTTCAGCTCTGAGCAGAAAAGGGTATTCTCTGGCTCCAGGGTGATTTTTCAAATTCACCTTTTGTGCAAGCACCCACCCTGCTATCACTTACAGTATCAATAAAGGTAAATGTAATATTATAAATTAGTGTTGCTTGTCTGGTAAATATTCATGAAGATATATCCCACAATGACACCAATTGTAATGAATTGGGGGATCTTTTAAAAATATAAAGGCAATTCCAATGCTAATTTAGAATGCTGGATAAAATGTCCTCTATGGTCAAGAATGAAACCCAGCTGAGTGAATCACATGGTTTGCTTTTCTGCTTCCCTGGCACAGTGTGAAGGAGATGTACTGTAATGAGGAGGCTCAAACTTGAAAATGAAAAATTATTTGCAATAACTACAAATTAAACTCACAAAGTACTATTTACAAGTTTTATATATGTAATTATTGTAAACCTCTTAGAGTCCAATGCTACCCTGACTTGTCCCTTTAAAGATGGACTAACCTAAGTAGGCAGTGACGTGGTGTCTGTAGCATTACGCAGACTAAGGAAGTTATGGCTACTCCATTTCCCCTCAATGGGTCACTGCAAGAAGGCAGCAAAGGAAATACATTTTCCTTTACATAAAACACCTATTTTTCCTAAATAATCTCAAGGTCTCTTCACACCTTAAATATACATGTTAGATTTCAGTTCTTAAAGGCCCATGTTAATGGTTTGGGTGAAAGGTTTTTTGTGTTCATTGCTGGAACTCAAGTGCAGTGTTTTACTTCCTCAACTCTGAAAGTGAGAGCAAGAGTTATTGTGGCCACTACTTCTGTTACACTATGCTGGTCTTCCTGGACAGGGCACTCACTTCATGTGATTTCCTTGTTTTGGCATCTTCCACACAGGTCTCCATCTAATTTTACTGTATGTCCCTCTTTAAGGGAAAAAGTTCTGTGTGTATTGGTATGTAACTACAATTTTCTGCTTCTAGTCAACTGAAAACTGGAGTCACTGAGCAGATGGCCTTGCCCATGTCTTCTGTGTAATCCTGGTTACTAGCACGTATTGGGAAACCGGTAATGTTAGTAAAGTTCAGTTCTGGTATAACTAGTATAATCCCCAGAACTCAGAAGTAACATCACGTTAAACCCCAGCAGCAGCCAAAGAACTCCAATGGCAAAAACTGAGAGATGCAATACGATGTCTATAAATTATAAGGTAAAGCATAATCCACAATACTTTACATTGCCCATATTTAATAATTCTAACAAATAATATTTAAGTTATTGATAAGTACAATTCCAAATCAAACCAGCATTCACCATTCCCTCTGTCAATGGCACCCCTCTGAGTGTTTATCAAAGAACTTGTGAAACTGAATCAGGCAGCTACTATAGCAGTACTGTGCAATAAGAATGATCAATATTTCCCATATCAGCCGCAATACTTCATGGGTCCACTTTATTAATTACTTTGTGCATCAGTAAATATTAACTTTAAATTCTCACTTCAGTGCTAGGCAGCAGGAATCGTAATGTGTCATGGTATGTTTTATTCAGACTGTGTGACTTTAATCATGTACAGTATATGGACAGAATATTAGGAACCCCCATGAAATAAAATGTTGAGAATCTGCACACAGTTTCAACGGTATATGACTTCTTTTCCACAAGACTGTGAGATGCTTGCAGCCGATGCTGTCCCATGCTTCTAGCAGAATTGACTTCAGCTGCGGTCATGAGGACAGTCTGAGGTTCTGATGTGTTACACTGCGTGTTCTACCAAGTGCTGATAGCATTTAGACAGGACAGGGATGGTGGGGGGGTGGCAGTCATTCTCCTCAATCCAACTGTTCTTTTCCTGATAGCTGACTGAGAGAGTCTATTTCACTGAGGGTTTCTGATATTTTGCCCCGTGAGTGTAATTTAACACGTTTGTATATCATAAAAAATTACAACCCCTAAAAACTATACTTGCCTTGTTCCATGTGAAAGAGAATAAGCCTTGCAAGAGTTACTTTCATAATGGATTCTCCATGCCCAGTACAAGATGCTGCACCACTGAAATTGTCAGCATACCCACCAGAGCCTGTGGAGAAAACATTAAAATAAATCCAATTTCTTACAAAGTTTCATTTTTCCAACTAAGCAGTACTATTAAAAGTTAAACCTTTAACTGTAATATCAAAACATTAAAATAAATGCCGTTTCTCCAAAGTATTGTTTCAACAAAATGAGATGTCTTGATAATTGCTTACTAATCAAGAATGTAGAGCTTTCTTTATAATGTGTGATAATGACCTTTAAACCCTGTAATGACCCTATAAAACCCTGTTTTATATGTGATGTAAAAATACGTAACTGGGCTTTTCCAAACTGGCAGAGCAAGCTTGAAGTCATAGTAGATACAAAAACTGACATATTTGTGGATAATGTGACCCTACCTTTAAGCTAAATTCTGTGTTCTTTCCAATTTCCTGTCTGTGCATATCCCTCAAAAAGAGAGGTATTTATTTCAGCCAGAGTTAATATTTAAGTAAAGATTAGGAAAAGGTTGGGTAAATGTACTTGGAAATGATGATAAAGCCCGTACCTGCAAAATCATATGCTTTTTCATATGCCATAACAGATCAGGAACCATTTGTATAATATAATCTACTTGCCAGCTATCAGCATTCACATGAAGTCTATAAGTTTGGTTTATCATGCCGAAAGTCTTCAAAAGCCCTCAATGCTTTAATGTTTTCATCATTCTTTGCTTAAGGCACTGTGCACTTGTGACATCCAGCATGTACAATCACAGTTGGTTAGCTTGAGTCAACCAGAGTAGGTCAAACATGAAATGAAATTGGCTTGAGCAGACGTTTCTCGCAACATTTCAGTGAAAGAGTGCTTGGTTTGCCTCTGTGGGTAGCAGACCATCAGAAGTGCCTGAGATTTTAATAACCAGCAGGAATTCTAAGAAACTACATTGACGCAGAGGAAAAAAATAGATTTCATTCCTACCAATTTTAAGAAAAAATACATCCTTTAATGAATGTCAGAAAAAGAATCACAATAGCCAGATAGCTTTTTTTCCCACCTGGTATGGTGTTAAAATGTCTTCGTTGAACAGAAATATTGCAGCTCATTAAAACATGTTTTGTGAACCCAGAGTTCTACCTTTTCTTACCAATTATGGGAGAATCTCCAACTCTTCCCACCATTTTGTTTCGGATCCCTCCAGTTGATGTTGCACAAGCCACATTCCCCCTGCAGTCCAGGGCCACAGCTCCAACGGTGTCATGACCCTGTACCCTGGAAGCACAAAGAACCCCCAAAAGGCCGCTTTAGTACTTTTTAATTTTTTTAAGAAAGTTGTTTTGTCCTCTTGGACTTGGATACTTTACTCTTCAGTCCAACATTGAGCATACTAAATGGTATTTCCATCCATCAGTCCATTTTCCAATCTGCTTTATCCAGTACAGGGTTGCGGGGTCAGGCTGGAGTCTATCCTGGCAAGCAACTGGCACATGGCAGGACACAGGCTGGACAGGATGCCAGTCCACCACAGGGCACACGCCGACAAGCACACTCGCACTAGGATCAGTCTTCTAAGAAATCCATTAACCTACCAGTCTTTGGATTGTGGGAAGAAACTACAGCACCCAGTGGAAACCCACGCAAACACAGGAAGAACATCCAGTACAAACTCCATCAGAGAGCACAAGTGCTGTGATGCAGAATGCCTACCACTCCACCACTATGCAGCCCCTAAAAGGTATTTCTTAATCATTATGAGGTACAGTAGTTACATCAAGAATATGCTCAGAAGTTCGTAATGCTGTTCAATCAGTGAATGTGTAGATGAAGACATTTTATTTATGAGTTGTGGACTATGGATGGATAAATGAACACCATATGTACTATGCCTCTTCATGTTGCTTAACTACGTCATCTGAAAAATGTTATTTGCTGGGAGACACAAGGGAGTGGTAGCTTGAATTATTGTCTCACAATTGTCTCACTCAAGGACTCTTGAGTCCTGTGTTCATTTCCGGACTGGGGTGCCTTCAGTTTGGATCTCTGTGCCTGTTGAGCCAGGTTTTCTCCAGGTGTTCCAGATTCTTTCTGTTTCCAAAGACATGCTGGCTAGGTTAATTGGTATATCGCCACTGTCCCTGTGTGCATTTGTGTGTGCCCTGTGATGTAACTGGCAACCTACCCTGTTGCCTGTGCTTCTGGGATAGGCTCCAAGCTGATGGTTTTCTGATAAGATTGATGCATGTTGTTTGCTCTTGTCTGTCTTTCAATAAGAATGTTAAACAGAACTCTAAATTGGTATTTTACTAATACATACAAATATCTGTCTAAAATCAACAGAGCATCTCTGCAGTTTAATATGTTTATTTTCTTCCATACTCTCATTCCAAGACTTTTCTTATTCGAAGTCTCCAGCTCACACATTTGTAACTCACAGCCTAAGTCAACAGATCGGTCAGCACTGGGGATTAAATGTGTCAGGATACAGTGTAGTAAAACAGCAAAACTTAGATTGTCAGACACTGGCAAACATAGGATAAAAAATATTTTCAAATGCAGAAGTTTCATTATTCAGTTGAAGCCAAAGTTTAATTATTTTTTTCTTCTTAGATAATTCAAACAATAAAAAAAATTAAGAGACATATTAATTTGCAGAACCAAACCAAATCTGTACGGCTAATATACATTTTGTGAATAAATTCAAATTTCCAGACAACCATACAACAAAGTTGAAAGATATCACATTCCAGTATTAGGGAATAAAAGACAATGTATACCCAAATGAAAAACGTGAAGTTGTTAGACCCCAGAGGCATTGAAGAGGAATTTGGTGTGCATATAACAATGAACTCTACTGCTACCTTACATTAATATACGACTTTATGTGAGAGACGCAGAAGAGCCTGTTTCAGTGTAGTCTGAAAATCACATGCTTGACTCCAGTCCCTGAAATGTCCAAAAATCAACATTTAAAAAAAATCTAATTTGATTTTAATCTGAATTCTAACTATTCAGTAGTTTGCTTGTTGATTTAGGAATGAGTTAGAATTTAAATTCCTGAAGCTTCAACAAGGAATCTCAACATCTGAATTTCGTTCAATGAGGAGTCTACAATGACCACAAAAATTCCATAATGATAAAAGCAGACTTTGTTTTTTAATAGGTTTTTGTCTTTATACTGTCCTCAAAACAATGTGAATTATTTATTTGCAGAGTTTTCTACAGTTCATTTAGACCCTACCGAATAAATGTATTTTACAAATCCTTAAAAGTTTGCCTTTGTACAAAATGCAAGCATAAATATCATAACGTGTAAATATTTCTTTAAAGAATGACAGTTTCTCACAAAATCCACACTGCTGTTCTAAGTATGTTAGGAGCACTAGTTACTCCAAAGATGGTATTTTGAAGATCGGCAGCTTGTACATCATGGGTCAGAGCCATAATAAAGACTTAAAGAGGGTTTGCACGTTCATGCAGCGACCTGCAGTACATCACAGCCCAGAAGAGGCTCGAATGAAACATCACACTAGGTTGGAGACCCTTCTGCTTTAAGTTAATCAAAGTAACTCAAACTCAGTTAATCACAGTTAATCAAAGTAACTGCCGTGTGAAACACTGCAATAAAGTAGCTACTGTATTAAATACAGTAACTGCAAAAGCAGTGAAAGAAAACAATCTGAAACCAAGTTTGAAGAGAAGTACGAGAGAGTGAAGATCTGGGCACAGTTAGTTCTAACATTTGAAAGGCTGAAAATACTTTTTACTTTCACCATTATTTGTATCAATATTCGAGAGGACTTCTGTATGTGCCAAGACTGAAATGAAAGGGCTGTCACTGGAGATTGATTAGCTGTGTTGCCAAGTGTGAGCAGGCTAAACGTCAGTGTGCTAACACGTTCTTATTCTCCAAGAAAGAGCTCCTGCTCCCAGCACTGGAGCAGCTACTGAAGCTCAGAAGCACCAGGGCTTTGTAATACTGCTGTTGTCGCCCACCTTGTCATCGCATTGCTTTCTCTTTCGGCAGCTCGCCAAGATCATGGTATCATTCTTGCAATAATATAACTTTGGAAAAAAAGTGCTTTACGGAACTACAGTGAATCAATCGCCTGTCACTTTCTGCTGTGGGCCAGACTTGCTGTCTTAAATGACCCTCACAGATATCAAATATATATGTGAAGCATCCATGATTCCTTCCTTGACAATGACCATGTTACTGTATGTTTTTACTGTGGTTCCCCCCTACTTTACAAAAGGCCAGGAATGAATAGTTCTACTTGTATAGCTCCAAAGGGATAAGTTTAAATCACTTTTGAATCACCTTTAGTACCTTTCCAGGGCATTGCAGAGGAAATGATTGAAAATCAGCAAATATGCTTCACACTTGATCAGACACAAGTCTTTTTGAATGTACTAGGCATGAAGCAAGAACAGTACGTTTACAATGAGTCTGAAGGTGTGTGGCAAACTGCCTCAATTCAAGGACAAAGGAAACAAGTAATGGTTGGACTGATCTCCTAGTGGCTTCACTTAGCGACAAGCTCTTCACGGGAAATATTTGTCTAAACCAGTCGGGACAGATTCGCTTGTCAGGCTCCTGAAGGGAAACATCAATCAGTTTTGACATGCAGTTGATTGCTCTATTAAATCACCACCAAGGGTTTGATTTGGCTCATCAGGTCAGGTGAAAAAAATAATAAATTTAAAAGATATTTGATGGTAGGCTGTATTTCAAATTTCCTGACTGAAGTAACCTGCAGTAATTTCTTTAGTGACCTAATGGACCATGAAGTTACCAGCACATATCGAAAGATTTATTGCTGTGAGAAAGTCCTGTTTAATCAAATAACTTAAACAAATAAAAGCACTGTAGATTCTGAGTCCTAATTGAAGTACTGCACACCTTAGTCGTCACACTAATGGTCAAAATGGATGAAGATTTAATTTAAATTTAAATGCTACAATTTTGTCAAAAAAATTAATGTATTTTTAACATCATCAAGCATAGAAAAATATTCATACATAAATAAAGTGTGATTCTGCACAATGATATTTAGATCTATGGGTATTTAATTTTTTTTTTCATTGACAGCTATGACATCACACAAAATCTTTTTTGCTGAAAGATTGTGTACATTTTTCCAAAAGTCACCACTTTCCCAGGCTTCATAAATATTGTAATCAAATATAACTATTAATCTATTTCTGTCCTTACAAATTAAATCATCCTGGGAATCCAAAATCTTTATTTAGTTTTAAAGCTTACAGTATATATATTATGAGATATGTATATTTAAGATACGTATGTTTCAATAAATGCAGAATTTAACCATTATTAAATTAAGAGACAAATCAAATTAATATAACATCTAGTTACAGACATCTGAGTCTACCTCTACCAGTTAACAATAGCTCTTAACAGTAATATATTCTGTGTCTATCAAGTAAGGTATCAAAGACCACAGGAAAAGAATCAAGTTAAAATTGGTAGGTGGAAGTCATTTTCCAATGATTCGGGAACATATAACTACAGTAACGAAAAACATACAGAGGATAAAAATTATGACATTTTTTGACAAGTTTTTGACAGTGCTATTTCTGCAGGAGTGACACAAGCAGACATCAGCTAGGATTCTATCATGAAGGAATCTTTAATCTGAAATCTAAAACTATTCAACACAACCGAATCTACATATAGTATATTATTGTGCTTAATTTAAATACACCTCTGTCTTCTTCACAAGTCTTTATTTACTGACTAACAATAAAACACATCTTGTGAAAGAGGTTTGTGATAGATAGATAATACTTTATTAATCCCATAGGGAAATTGATGAGATGATGATAGTGATGGTGATAGCTGAGAGAGAATATTTTCTCCTCCTTGGTTCAGCGTTACAGTACATAACCATCTGATTTAAGTCTGACATTAAAAAGGGCCTGAGATCCGCCAGTGTTAATCACAAGCAGTGGTCAGCATTGCTGCCTCGTGGTTTTGGGGCCCTGGGTTAAATTCCTGGGGTGCTGTATGTGTGGAGTTTGTATGTTCTCACTGTGTTTACGTGGGTTTTCCATAGGTGTTTCCTCTGACAGCCCAAAGACATACTGGTAAAACGATTCGATTGTGGAAAAACCGGCTCTCATCTGAATGTGTGTGCCTGTGTTTGTGTGTGCCCTGCGATGGACTGGCGTCCTGTCTAGGGTGTACCATACCTTGCACACCTTGCTTGCAATTTTATGGATTTCTAATAATATTAACAACAACATCAATAATA